CTGCAGATGAGTCTTTGAAAATTTGTCTGGAAAATCTTAACTGTATATGACAAAGTACGAGGTGCTCCAAGGGCGAGTGCAGTTCTACCAGGACTCTTCCCCAGTACCAACTCTTCCAGACTAGCTGCTGGAGCAATAACTAGACATCTCCAGACAAAAGATTTGATCCTGGATTATCAGGATTTCTGGCGAACAACAACAAAAAAAAAAATAGAAACAAGTATTGCCAAAACAATAAGAAGTGCATCTTACCTTAGGACAGGTGACTTCGGACTGCTGTATCATGATGAGGGCAGAGGCAATGAGGGCGCCCTGTCTCACATAGTTCACCGGGTCATTAGTCATCGGCTCAAGCAGATTGATCGCCTCCTGTGGAGATAAAAGGCATCACAGAAAAGTTGCTAAAATGGTTTAAAAAGAAGAATTCTTTCAGTAATTCCTTATTTACAAGCTGCAAAACCTTTATGGGGCTTGTAAATAGTCACCTACTGCGATATGTAGGCCACTTCCAAATTGGGAAGCAATGAATGCTCTTCGACATAAATAAACAATGATTCAGTCAAATGAATTTCTCATCTATTTCGTGCTGAAAATTCGAGCTATGCAAGTAGATTTCTGATCCAGACAGACAGGGAATTTCCCATTGGCCCACATTTTGCTCACTGTTAGTTACTTAAAATAAAATTTATATTTCTTTAGGATTTCAATTTATCTGGATCTTTGAAGTGCTCTCGGGTCCACAGCAGAGCAGTTAACTGCTGTAACGCACACCACTGGCGTCGCACAGCAGAGAGAAACCAACCGGGATGATGACAGCGCGGGTAAAATAAACCATGCTTCATGCGTGCTCTGGTCTCAGCTGGCTGAGGCGGCCGCGCACCAGGACGATAAGCTGGAGCGCACAGCCAACAGGACTCCACCACATCCTGTTCCCGATAGGTTGTCAGGGGGTTTAATTGAGAGTATTTACTGCCAGGCCCAATTAGCGGAGCGGGACGACACATCATGTGGTTGATTAAGATCCTCTTAATCTCGTCTTCAGGCTCATGCCTGACAGAATATTAAAATTGATTCAATTCTGCTCTGCAAGAAAATTGCGGGAAGCTCGTGTAAATAAATGAAACAGTGCCTGCCGAACACACCGTCACGACACAATGTCCATTTTCTTTCCTGTGCAGCTCTTCTTCTATACGTGTCAAGAAATAAAACCTCCAAAGCAGATGACCCACAACATCACATCATTATTATCACCTAATGTGCTAGAAGTCTTAGTGGGGAAAAGGTGTAGCATGACTCGGACTGATCTGGTCCAAAACATTCACTTTAGCGCCGTGAAGCTCAGCATGCAATGAGCCATGACTCGGCTTCTGCTCTGCCACCTGAGACTGACTGAGCGCCCAGGAACTGGCAGCACCCCGACTTCTGTCCTCTTCGCTCTCCTTTCTCGGACTCCAATGAACCCACATGCAATTAGAGGCTACAGCCATGTGACCGTGAGCCAATTTGGACTATTTTGTAAGCAAATCTACAACAGACCGTTGCACAATTTGTGAGCTCCTCTGTTTTGACATTCAATAAAAATGAAAGCAGTTTTGCAATCCTTGAACAATAACAGCTTGTATTTTGAGCAACAGCATTACACACAATCAATTTTAATAAAAGCGACATTTGTTCATGGCATCGCTACATCTGGCGAGAGAAACGCGGCCTTTTCACAGCCATTTCTAAAGTAGCACCGGAAAGTGAGCCGCTTCTCGCCCATCTAAGATTCCCCACTAGTGGAGGAGAAAATGACCGGGGAGGCACTCACCTTGTTGCCCGACCCAGCGCAGCAGATACCCAGGGCCATGGCGGCCCCGCAACGCACATGCGGGTTGTAGCTTTCTGACAAAAGAGACACCACACTGGGACACTGCTCAGGGGTCCTAAAGGGAGACGGAGAGAAATTAAGAGTGAGTCTAGAAGAGGCCATTAAAAAAGGACAGAGTTGAGATAAAGAGCAACGAGAAGCATTTCATCTTTTCTAAAAATGGAAAATTTACACCGGGTTGGAGGAAATGTCTCCTTTGTAATATATTATGGGCTACGTACTCCTTTTGTAATATATTATAGTTTATAAGTTGAAACATATTTGGCATTAAAATAATCTGAATCGGCAAAGTAGGCAAACTTGTAGCGGCAAAATAAATGCAGTGAACTTTCAAAGATTCAGTGGACTCGAAGCATAAAGTTTGATAAAAAAAACAAAAAAGTGCTTTTCAAAGTACTCGGACGCTTTACATGGTTAAAATAAACATAATACAAAGACATCATATAAAAACACAGCATCATCCTCTAATGCTTTCCTGATCTTAACTAAAATACATTAGTCATCTTTAGTGTTATGAGTGTTCAATTGGTCCATCAGATATATTTTATGTAAAATAAAATAAAAAAAATTGCAAAAGGATGAGGTAACCCATTTTATAAACAAGACTTGTGAACGGAGGTGTTAATGACAGAGTCATAGCAGCAGCGCTGCTTTGGCCCGACGATTAACTGCTAGAATTACTCGTCGGCTGAAATCTGTCTTGTTGTAATTGCGAGCGATTATCAATAATAGGAAATACTAGCAATCCTGTTAAGGACACACATTCGCTGTGGTTTTCATTCCATAATTCACAAAAAAGTCACATTGTATAGTGAGCCAACAATACGTCATTGCATGTGGAGAGGCTGCCGTAGATTGTTAGACTAATACATCAAATTATTAACAGAAATCAATAATAACGAATGTCAGTTCGTAGGCAAAATTAAACTTTAATTAGACTTTTAGGCTTTAACTAGCTCATATTTTATATCGGAAACTTCAAACACAAGCTAGAAAACAGTATAAACTAAATACATTATTACAGCTCCATTTTATTGAGTCCTTCAGAGTGAAAGAAGAGAAGGTGACCCAGATGGAGTCCCTCTGTCTGCATTCAACACACCCTTAATAGCGCTGGCTAAATGTACAATAAGAAGGGGACACGGAACACACTGGTATTTGGGTTAAGCCTCCGTTCTAACTAATAAATGGCCTCATTCGAGTCCTGAAAAAAGGAGGTTTGCATTTAGTCCTGAACCTCGACATACCGGACAGGCATGTCCTCCGAGGATAATCTCCACTAGTCCCTCTGGAATTAAAAGCTCTGCGGGATGATCAAGATCACAAAATGCCAACCAATGGGAGATATAGATCACCTTTCAATTTCCGCTTCGGGGCTGTTTGGACTGGACCGAAATGTAAAACCTCTAGGACAAAAAAACATGAAGCAGGACCCTGCGAGCTAGTTCAGGATACGTTTTGAAGTCAATACTGGACTAAAGCAGTTTGAAACACAATTTGCAAAACGCTGCAGTATGCTGCCTTTTTAAAAGTTATCTCACCCCTTCCAAAGTAAAACGTAAGCTAATTATCTAGGAAGAATAGATGGAAGGAAAGTAGAAATCAATATCCAGCATTGGTTTAGTCTGAAAGGACAGTGAAGCAATAACATCTGTATTTCAAGATGATAAATATCCTTATAATGCAAAATGGATTTAAAAGACCTCGCAATGAGGTTTTTAAAGAGAGAAGAGACAATATAATCCAAACAGATTACAGGTAACGGTCTCAAAGGCTTGCAGGCACATTTGAATCTCACTAAATCTATTACGGTTTCTTTGAAACCAATAACCTTTTCAGGTTCAACCTGACTCGAAGACAAAGAACCGTCCAGCAGTGCACAAAGTCGCTCCTGTGATTTATTGGCCATACGAGCCAATTTAGAAATATTTACTTAAAACTGTTACAAAAAGGCTCAAGGCTTTTACTTGACTGGTTTATGGGCCGTATGCTTATATGTGCATGCCTGACATTTATAATGGTGAGTGACAGAGGCTGATACAGCTGCAGCTTAATAACTTCCTCTGCCCTGGGAAGCAACAAACGCATTGAAAGGTAGGCAGAATTTTTTTTTTAACAATACAGCTGCGGTAAACATATTACAGGTTGATTCTGCCGCATGAAATGTGATTGTCGTGGTTACTAATGCACTTGAATTGTTAAAGAACAGATCTCATGAGCTGGCTTCCTGTGTTACAACCAGGTCACCCAAATGCATTAATGAACGCACCTGGACAATGTTGTATTAACAAAGCAAAGAGGCTGCGTGGCTTTTAAAATAAACATAACTGAAATTTTCTGGCAAAAGGGAAACGAGAGAAGAACAGAACTCTTTTTTTAAATAACGAAAATGTTCAAATTAAAATGGAAATGTCACAACAACAATCACCGGCGATTGTTACAGCAGTTTGAAAGATGAAGAGACTGAAAGAGCGAGAGACCGTGGGAGGTGGGGGGGCACCGGGGTGACCGAAAGGTGCCCGTACAGGGACTACCGTGCGACGTGATATTTGCACCGTAAGCGAATTATGTTTCGACTGAACACCGCCCCCTTCCTGAGAGACGTAATGGGACACAGATCTATGTGGGGGAGTCACTGGCAGAATCGCACACATTTTCTAGAGAAGAATCATCATCTGGTTAGTGTAAACTAGAAGGATATTCTATTCCATCATCTTTTAACATCTCGCAAGAACACACTGAAAGAAAGCTGCTTTTGAAACATCAGGAGGAAAAACAAATGTGCCCTCAATTACAAAAAGAAAATAGGATGCGGTTTACATTACTCCCCACGCTAAATGAGTTCATGCTGGGTGAAATAAATAAATAAAAAATTTCAAGTACAATTTTCAAGCACCTTAGAACACATAGGACTCCTTCCACTACAAACTCCATGCACAACCTTAACCCCCCCCCACTGCTTGCTTCAAATGGCGGAGAGAAAGTGACAAATATAAACAGTGGGACGGCCGCGTTGAGCGAAATTACCTCCCAGAACCGCTGGCACACTGCCAGCATGAAGACATTCATCTGCTTTATACAGAGTCCGACTCACAGGCAAGACTGGGGGGAGAGGGGGGAGGAGTGAGAGAGAGCGAGCGAACAAGAGGGGAGGGAGTGCGGGCCGATCGTAGGCTGTGAACAAGACGCAGCGAGTAGGAATGGGAGAGAGACGGAGGCGCCTCGACATCTGAAAGTTTTAAACCAATGATCGCGGTAGGTGATGCGGAGCAAGACTGGGGGTTCCTCCAACGTGTGCAAAGAAAACAAATTCCACATCATGGACCGCTTCAGGCAGAGACAGATTTAGCTTTCACCGCTGAGGGAGGGCATTCTCTGTCACGATCTATATTCGGGGAGGACGGGAATGTAATAATGGGATCGGGGAACTGAAAAAACCCCTACAAAGGATTAACATGCATCGCATGCCCTCATGCTGCACTGTGCTCCCAGAACTAAATATTGCTTTAGTGTTCGTGAAAGTGAGGACGTAGCGGCACGGAAGAATACTCAGGGAGTTACTCAACATCGAAGAGGGACTTGAATGGACATCAGATGTCTTCAGTAGAAGGTAAGAAACCTTGCAAATTCATCATGTCACGCGGCAGTTTTGTTATATTATTTGTAGATTTTGTATATTATTGTGTATTATTATTAATACTTGTGAACGCTTCCACTACCATTTGTGTGTAAATCCTTGTAGACGTAATTAGCTTTCATTTAAAGAGTCAGAGTTTTTTAAAATATTTTTGATTAACGTTTTCATACATTATCCTCAAAAGTTACATTATAGTACAAATTCCATATAAAAAATGATTGTTTTTAACTTACTGTATTTATAAATAGAATCTTTTTATAAGCTCCTTTACAAATTATCATTTAAAAACCTAGATTACAAAAAGCATTTCAGAATTATTTTTCATCAAAAGGTATTTTCAGCGTGGTGACCGTTACAGTTTCCGCATTATGCTAAAGCGCCTCCTGATTTGTCACCAACACCTCGCCTTGTTACACCATCGCCCAGAACACTAACAACCAAACCGTTGGTTCTTTTAAGTGGCTCAGTGGATGACAACAGCACCAGCAGCCCAGGAAAGTGAGGAGCCCTGCTAACATCTCACAGCAGAAGTCATAATCCAGTGGGGATTACTGCCGGCTCTGGAGTTTATACTGTGGACCGGTCCTTTTTTTTTTTTTGTGTCCCTCCGAGCAGTGGATCCATACTCCTTTTGAGCTCCTTCTTTTGGTCTGCACAGTGAAACAGAGGGATGAAGCACCCTGTGCATTGACCCCGAGGCGCCCCGCCCCACGCCGTGTCCCTGCCCGTGGGACACGGCGACCATGCTGACCGAGTGTCCAACGGCAGAAGGATCAGAGCCCCGACCCGCGCTACGGCCTGCCGCGCCCTCCGCAGCACCATGTCTCAGGCCGCCGCTGCTACTCTGCAGGCTAACGGCTCACAGTCCGGGGAAGAGCCCGAGGGGAAGCTACAATGGGCCGCCCTGCTCATCGTCATGGTCATTGTCCCCACTATTGGGGGAAACATCCTGGTCATCTTGGCCGTGTCCCTTGAAAAAAAGCTGCAGAACGCCACCAACTACTTTCTAATGTCGCTTGCGGTGGCTGATCTGTTGGTGGGACTCCTCGTGATGCCCATCGCCCTCGTCACTGTTTTGTACGGTAAGTTTAACACGGGGGCTGATGCCTTTCATTTCATCTCTGTAACAGACCTGTGCAGATAAAGAGCAATACATACTGGACTCTACCTGGAGAAACATCAATTCGACATCATTCTAATAGACCTACAATACCCGTTATTACTATTACCATAAAAAACAGCAAGGATTTAAGTATGTGGGGGACGAGTCCTTAAATGATATTGAAAAACTGCATTTAACCAAAGGGCAACAGGCGAGCATACTTGCTGGCAACATGAGAGGATAAAAATAGTTTGTGAGCAACACTAGATACAATCTCTACCATCAATAAACAAATTATTCCAGATGTAGCATAACAAGAGATAATGGAAAATAAACATGCAACTTCCTCTGGCAACGCTTTGGTGGCAGTTGCACAGCTTGGGCCGCACTACTGGTCGCTGGGATCATTACCCAGAGAAATAAAAAGGCTTTTATTTTAATTCTTGTGATAGTGCCGTGTGCACACGGCTGCACTGGAACCAATTTAGACTTCTAATCACTACATATTACCTCAAATGCACAACACAGAACTGTGGTCAAGCGCTCCAATAATTCAACACAGGGGCAATGGACCCGGTCACAATTCTGTCTCTCTCACACACGCGGAGTACAGCGTGACAAAGGACCCTGACCCTGCGTTTTGCATGAGAACGGGTTGCATTGCTCTGTAAGGTCCTTCACACGCCTGTTCACAGGTGCTGCTTTCATCTCTTCCGATTGCAGAGGCTACATGAATAAAGACAATTCCAATCATCTACTTTTGCATCCACGTTGGTGATGCATCTGCCTCTACGCCGTCCACATTGGGATCAAAGGGTTTATCTTAAGCCCCAATGGAAAAAACGAATCCTTAGGTTGATAATCAGAGCAGCAAAGTTGAGAAAGCATTCATGCATGCCATATTAATTAAACCCTTTTTTTTTTTTCTACCGCTCCATTCTCGTGAATGTTCTGTGGGCCAGATGCTTTTTTTCTGCAATGTGTTTATACAGCAATGGGTTTTGGTTCATTAAACACAAGCCACAAATAAGAGCACACAGCGGGGAGAATGTTTTCAGCAGACACCCACCTCTGGATCCCCCAAAAAATCCAATGCAAATACAAGAAGGTTTTAAAAAACAACAACAAATGTAACAAAAACCATGCAATGAGATGAATACATATGTACTGAACACGGCCTTGTGTAATCAGAGACTGCTGGACATCTCCCGCCCCCCTGAAACAATCGAAGACTTAAGTAAAGTTAAACCAATAAGAAAATGTTGTTTCCTTACAAAGCAACACTAAAAACAGAGCGCGGGCCCATTGCAGAGGGACAACCAAAGGACTCAACCTATCGACGTATTTAACCTTTCCTAATCCAATTAATTAGAAACATCTTCCTCGTACGGTTACCTGGACCTTGTAATGTACACTTGTTGTTCTGGGACTAAACAATCTACTGATTGTACATCTCCGATACGTGTTTTGTGAAATCTTTGTCTGGGAATAAGCCTTCCAGATGAAATCTAAATCAAATCTGACTCAGAAATTCCAATTGTAACTAGAAAGTGGTGTAAGGAAAAGAAGGGGAGGGCGGCATAACCAAAGACAATTATGCAAAGGAATATTTCCGACAGTGTCAACGTGCGACAGGACAAATGCCAGAACAGCTACTTGCCAATTTTATGCCTGGAACTGAAAATAAACACTACTGTTGAGCACAGCCTCCGGCACATCTACATAAAGAGCTCAGAGCTCCATAAACAGTCGGTGAACCCTACTTTTTCCAGTAAAGTCATTCCTCTCAGAGATAAACAAACACCAATCTTTTGCATGAGTGCTACTTCTAATCCCTCGCGGTCTCCCATAACTAATGGGGTGTGCGGGACAAAAAAATACTTTTGGAATTAAACTGTACTACACAAGTACATCGCAGCGAGATACTGATTGTAGGGACACAACTACAGATAAGGGATGTACAATTGTTTTTTAAAAAGACAGCTGATCGGGAGTGATTAACGCTTTTTCCTTCTCGTCTTTCTTCAGATTCGGACTGGCCTCTCCCGGAGCCCCTCTGCCCCATTTGGCTGTTCCTAGACGTGCTTTTCTCAACCGCATCAATTATGCACTTATGCGCCATTTCGCTGGATCGCTACATCGCCATCAAGAAGCCCATCCAACACAGCCAGTACAAGTCGAGAACCAAAGCGATGGTGAAGATTGCACTCGTGTGGCTCATATCTATTTGTAAGCATAACAACTCGTTATACAGCAGCAGTGAATTTAGCCGTTAATTTCGGAACCCATTCACAACTCATTGAAAACTGGAGTTTGCATTGTGGCCCGTGCATCCCGAGCAAGCTGCGCGGTGGTCGTGGCTGATTGGGTGCAGCTTCGGTAAAAGGACAGCTTTCAAAATGTACGTTTTAGATCGGAGTAAAAAGGTTCTGCTGTTGTTCATATTCAGAAGAATCATTATTCCCCAAACTGTCCCTTAATTGAACATATATCTAACAGAAATAAGGAGATAATTAATCAATATCACAAAAGGTAAATTGTGAATATTCATAAATACTAACTGTTGTTGTCGCCATTTTCCAGGTATTGCAATCCCAATTCCAATTAAGGGGCTTAAGAACAACCACCTCCCCAACAACATCACCTTCAACAGTAACCACACATGCATGCTGAAAACAGACACCTTCCACGAGTTCATCATGTTTGGCTCCATGGCGGCATTCTTCGTCCCTCTGACAATCATGATGGTCATCTACCTACTCACTGTCCGCGTGCTGCGCAAAAAGGTCTATTTGCTGAGGTCACGGGTGACTCAGCGCTTCAGCTCCCCGACAGTCTCCACGGTCTTTCAAAGGGAAGAGGCCAGATCGCCGCCTCAATGGGGGCAGCTTCACAACCAGGAGAGGAGACTTCCCCGGACGCAAGACAAAACCTACGCGGACGGAAACAGCTCTCCGACGGGAGACGAAACATCCTTCCGGAGAATGTCGACAATCGGCAAGAAGTCGATGCAGACTCTGAGCAACGAGCAGCGCGCCTCCAAGGTGCTGGGCATCGTCTTCCTCCTGTTTGTAGTCATGTGGTGCCCCTTCTTCATCACCAACATCACCTCCGTGCTGTGCACCAGCTGCGATGTCCATGTGATGGCCCGCCTCATGGAGATCTTTGTTTGGGTGGGCTACGTGTCGTCGGGCATCAACCCCTTAGTCTACACTCTGTTTAACAAGACTTTCAGGCAGGCGTTCACACGCTACATGACCTGTGATTACGAGAGCACCACCAGCTATGGCCCGGGGAGGCGCCACAGGGCGTCAAATGCCGATTGGACCCTTACGCGGATTTCATTCAGCTCTTCTGTGGCAGAAAACTCTAAACGGATCATGAAGCGTGGAATGAAGAACGGCATCGGAGCGGTTAGCTACCAGAGCCGGCAAACCCCCGCGCAGGCCCCCAGTGGCGTGTTGCTGGACACAGTGCTTCTGACCGAATGTGAAGATGGCAAGCCGGAAGAACATGATAGCTGCGTATAGCAAAGCCTGAAAAAATGAATCCCATTTTTAAAAAAGGGAGCACTTTAAAATGCATCCAATTGTAGAGTGTCCTTTTTATCTTTTTAATAGCCAACATTCAAAATGCATGATTCTCAATCTGCTTTTACTACCAATTTGATTGACAGATAATGTCGGTTCTTACTGCACACAACACCGCAACGACATCCAAGTCATGCTGATGATTATCATTGTTGTAAACAATGTTGTTTAACAAAATGCAAAATACTGCAACATTTTCATTAAAATCATTTCAGAAACACAATAAACAGTAAAAATGGACTGAATATGTCCACAGGTCCAATGAATTCTCCAAGACTACGTGTAGCGTACCAGAGGAGTTTGAGTTGTCAAAGGTTAAAAAAAACAACTTTGTGATGACCTGTAACAGGTCAACTAGGCGAACAAGGAGTATAAAAAGATCAAATTTAGACAAAGATGTGGCTACCAAACAAATGTTAGGAATGAGTTCGGTGTGAATACACACACGATGTTTCCATATGCTGTTCCCGTCTAGTTGGGCTATTTATGCTTTTAACCATCTCGGATACGTGCTTACATGCTACATGTTGACAATAAACTAATTGTTTGCTGGACTTTTGAGAAGCACTCATGTATGTGTACTGCAGTATGTTTCGATTTTTTATGTTCAAATAAAAAAATGTTACATACATACTGTATGTACAAAATCCAGATACAGAAACAAAAAATGTTCTGTGTTGCCACACGGAAAAAAAAGGTTAGCAAATATGTAAATACCAGAACACCTGCAAGTAAGACAGTGAACGGAGCTTTAAAAAAAAAAAAAATGGTTTTACAGTCCCTTTATGCTTAACAGCAACGTCTTGTAGCTCTTTCTCTAAGGCGGAATTCAGAGGACATCTAAATGCAGAATAGTTTCAATAGCAAAAAATAAATCCAATAAAATATATAAAACAATATTTGCTCAATGTGGCGAAATTTGAGATTTGGACAACGCTTAACAACTTTGAGGCTTAAAATGGAGACCCTGATATTTGTGTCTATGCAGCGTGTTCAACCCTGCTCTGGTCTGAGTGGTAAAACCCACTACAAACAGCCTGGGAAGAGCGTGTGTGAGTGAGTGACAGTACGTCCAACGGCAGTGTTTCCCCCCCTACCATTATAACAGGAGGGCGCCCCTCCCTCCCTGAAATCCCCCCACCCCCTCTTTAAGAGTCTGGAATGAAAAATACATAATTTTCTTCTCCCACGCACGGCAGTTCCGCACAGACACATGCGCACATACTCAACAAAGACATATTGGTGCACGTGGTGCTCACACCAGCAGACTGACTACCCCCACCCAGGTGACCGAACTGTTCTCTGCGCTACTACCCCCCTCCCTACAGTTGTAAACGTAGGGGAAATATTGAACGGGAATACCTTCCATAAAATTATATATAATAAATAAATAAACACTGCAAGAGGATTGCAATGGTTCACAAAAGAAAAGCACAATGGTACTTTGAGAAAGGCCTCTGGTGCATGTGAGATTAGGAGCGTTTGAGCTACTTAATGTGGTCCTTACCTAAACAAGATGAAGCCAATGGACTCCACAGCAGCCCTTCTGACGTCATCATTCACGTCACTCACCTTAATTAAGAGAGGGAAAGAACTCCAATGATCAAAGATGATACGGGGAAATTAACAACTCCTGCAACTAGCCAGCCAACTTTAACGATGTGGCTCCCTTGTAGTTAAAGATGTGAGGACAACGGTTTAAGCTTGTATAATGTGCCCCCTACAGGACAACAGGTCTTTCACACCCCTGAAGTCTCACAGTATATTCAGGCGCAAACAGTACACCACTGAAGTGTCATTTCAAATATGCATCACAACTTCACTCCCAACAGAAGATAGTTTGCTTTACTTAAACAATCATAATCTCGTATCAACATCTTCCCTGGGTGAAATGACTTGATGTTAATTAGGGCCAAACAAACACTTACGGCGACATGTAGCAGGCGTCGGATGGCCTTGTTGTTGCCGGAGCCACAGTAGGCCATGCCCACGGTGTACATACCAGAGCGACGCAGGATGGGGTCCTAGTGAAGGAAAGCAGAGCTTTGAGACATGTGAATGGAGCCACAACTAGGATCAACAAAGTTTGAGCCACTGCACACCTCTAGCTCCTATCAAAGGACACCTGGCAGAGCCTCGCGTGCGACACGAAATGGCACACTTGACGTGCAGGACGCAATATATCACACATCGGAAGTAAACATTGCAGCCCAGGGTTCTATGAAGAGCAATGATCTGGTAAGACACTGACTATTTCTATACGTTCCTCATCTCATTCTCTAGGATTGATCAAGCTTGTGCCAATCCGTGTGTATTGTGATATTTGGATAAACCGCAGTAAGGCCTCAAAAAAAAAGAAAAAAAAAGAAAAAGAAAAATGTAAAAGCACCTCAATCATTGTGGAAAAATAGAAATACTTTGACTTCATGGTGTACTATATTGTTGTTGCTGCAGTTTACATACCAGTATAATGCTTATGATGAAACCAGACCCGCGGTAATATACCGGCCCCTGCTTGTTTAATTGTGCATTAGGACAATACATTTCCCTTGATCCTTTCTGGAGACTTTTCAGTACCTTGTCTCTACAGAGGCTTTCAATGAGGGTATCAGCCTCCTCCATGCGTCCGTACATGACCATGGCAATTCCCACAGCCAGACCACGCAAGATCTTCTCGTGCTGCGTCTCCTGAGCATAGCCCACCATGTCCTCGATGGCCTGTGCCGACTTGGAGCCCAGCATGACCAGACCCAGGGCCAGGCCCGCAGCTTCACCTGAGGGGTTACACAAGGTTTTCAGCATGATTGGTTTGTTTTTTTCCTTTACGTGATCAACTGATGGTTTACAAACACCAAGAACTAAATATATTTACAGCATATCAGAGACATCGGAACAGATAAGGTTTGCAGTGGACACATGTTTTTCTGTATTTGTTTGAGGCAAACCTGAATCGTAATACGAATGATTTGTGTCTTTTGGAATGAGAGGATTATGTTTATAAGCAGAGTGGCGAGGATCAAAGAGGCTCACACACCAGTAACTGCATCATCCTGGTACAGGTTGGACTTCAGAAGGTCGTAAACATCCTGCCTGGCTGTTCCTAACGCGGCCAGACCTAGACCAAGGGCGCCACCATGACGGACAATCTGTGAAACGGAAGAAGAAGAGCATGAGAGATGGAAGACTGAAATATTAATAAACCACCTCAAACAGAGTCTTAAGCTAGCTGGTGGTCTCAGCTACGAAATATCTAGCTGAGGCTTTTGATCTCAAGTAATGTAAATAAACCAACATCGTTGCTGGCGTTCTTGAGCTGGCTGAGCAGGTAGTCAATGATGTCTCCTCCATGGTTGGCGTGAATGAGTCCCAGAGCATACAAGCCTCCTCCCTCCTGGTAAGCAGAGCCAGGGGAGGTGTCCTTGGGCAAGTAGGTGGCCATTAACTGGAGAGCCTCCTTCTCATGGCCCTGAAAAGCACAGCACATTATGTTCAAATTGAAATCTGGAACGGAATTCGATGTTCTTGTATTTGCTGTAACATACGAATCATGGTGAGATCATTTACCTTGTGGATGACACCGAGACTTGCTGTAGCTGTGAACTTTGCCCAGTTTGTGGCTCTTGCAAGCCATTCCAAGGTTTTCTCTACAAGGTCAAACAAAACCATTGATCAAATGTCAGGTTAAGTAAGTTGAGTTTCTCTACGTCTGGATGTGCAATCTATGAAATATACACTTAGGTTCTGTTAGCAGAAGTACCTGAGGAACTGGTCACTTGTGGTTCCCGTGTGCATAAAAGAGTTGGCTATTACTGTGGCTGTGTGACACACCGAATTTCGAACTGCATCCTGGAATGATGGAGAGAAAAGAAAGAAGAGAGACCATTTAACCAACAGCTTGTTTCTTTGTGTGCTGTTATCCACTCATCTTGTCCCTAGCATACATTACCTTTGTGTTTTTGAGGATCATTAGATCTGTGTTGTTATTTCGGATTAGGAACTGCAAGTGCAGCTCAATGGCCATCTCCCCGCTAAGGATTTTGATCATCTTGGCATTCTGGTCTTTGGGCTCATCTTTCTACAATAGCACAGAGAATCAAAACAATGACCTATCAACCAAACCATAATTGCTTCTTTCTTTTTTTTTTTTTTTTTTTTTTAAACAAAGAAAAATGACCAGGAACTGGTGATTTTTTCTTTTCTTAAGAGCGTACCAATTCTACTGGCTTTCCAGCAGGGGAGCTGCCCGCCTTGTCATCAGTCTCCATCGCATCACTGTAAAGACACAAAACAATCCTTTTATCATTGGAAACAATTTGACTAAAATGAGCATATGAATATTTGAATATTTTCCTGCCATGCTTAGAAACATTGGGGTTTTGTTTACTTTCTTAGCATATCGTAGCCATGAGGAAATCAGATTTCATAAAACTTAATTCCAAACCCCTCGCTGTAAAGAAACCTACACCTTTGAGAACATATTAATGTGCCTTTCTTCTACCCACCTGTCTTTGTCGGGCGTGGGCACAGTACCCGTATTTGTAGAGCCAGGGACCGAAGGGATGGGTGTTCCAACAGTGTGCAAGTTCTGGATGACTGAGGAGAGGAACTGCTGGCTGGCGCTCTCATACAGGTCAAAGCAGATCTGATAGGCCATCAGCAGGTTGTCCTCCTTCACTAGCTTCTCCAGGATGTCACTCACGGCTTGTGGGTCATCCAGGAATATCAGGCACTAGGGAGGTGAGGAGAAACGGTGATTAGAAAGATATTTTCAGATTCAGATCCCCTTTTTGTAAAATCAGGTTCTGTGATTGTGTACATGATTTCTTTATGTGTAACTCACACAAAGATTCAAAGCAAAGACATGAGATGTAAAATAGAGTATGAAGCAGAACTCCTGCCAAACTACAGAATATCCAGGACTGTTTTCTTACACGGTATTAGTTTTAGCTAGTTAATAAATTGGCAACTAAGTAAATATTATAGGAGTAAATATCCAAAGCTGCATTTGAACAACACCAAGAGCACCACATGTTGAAGAACATATTGAAGAAGAAGAAATTTCCAGACAACTTATTAGGGATGAATGTCCCAAAATTAATATAGTGATAATTACCCATTAAAAAAAAAGCAGAAAGAAACCGTTCTAAAAGTATCAGGGTTCGGGTTGAATTCAGAAGATTTGGACATAAATCTCATACTAAAGTGATAAAAAATACACTTTGTCACATTAATTACCAATCTGTTTGAGTATTTATAACAGAGGGGTTGGTCATGGAAATTATGTAAAAAGTGTATTAGGAGGATGTGATTGTTACCTGACAGACATTGATGAAATCAGGCTTGTCCAAGTTCATATAGAGCTTGACCAGCACCCGCAGCACCTCGTTGCGGAACTTCTTGTTCTGCATCAGGGACATGCACACCTTCAGGCTGTATGCAAGGAGGCCACTCACGTCGCTCTGCATGATGAGAAGCACGGTGAAAATGATTAGTTTCATCAGTTTCATGAAATCATTCTGTACAATAAAAATAGTTAAAACCTGTCCTTTACTGTAAAATGAGTCAACATGGGTATGACAGACGTTACTGTATTTGAATAAAGTGATTGTCACAATTGCAACAAAGTTTTCATGCCACGTCAGCAAAAAGGCTCCAAGAAAATCTCAAAATCAGCTGTAAAGGACAGCAGGGACTTACTGATTCTAAGATGGTGTTCTCAAACATGTCAAGTCTCCTAGTCTCCAGGGCAATGCCAATGGCCTGCTTGTACTTGTGATCATCTAGGCAACGTAGGAACATTTTGTTTACAATGCCCTCAAGGCGGGGGTCAATGCTCTTCTTCTCTTCTTCCTCTGGCAGCTCTGCATTCTCCACCCTGAGCTTGGTGTAGTGATCTATGCATTTGGCTAAAAAAAGCAAATAAAAAAAATAATTAAATGAAGGAGTTAAACTCTAAATCTCAATACGAGAGTCATTCATTTGTCTCTCTATATTATGCACACTGCCTAGAGTATGAGGATCAATGCAGCATCCAAACAACAGACAGGTCACAATATCATAAGAGTAGCAAAGAAGTTTTGTAAATGATGAAGTGTTTTTGCTTGATTACTTACCAATAATGGTCTCCACATATTCTGAGTCATCTGTGACATTGAAGAGATCTCCAGCACCGAGAGCATAGTTCAGAGACTCCTCAAACGCTCCGAGGTGGTAGAAAACCTTGGAGGCCACAAGGGCAGCAAATGCTCTGCTCCGAAAGGTCTCATCCTCATAAAGGACCTCGCTGTGAGTAGAACACAGATTGTTATAAAGGACTGAAAATACTGACCTGAAAAGCAATCTTTTAAGATAACCATTAAAAATGTTAATGATCACTACTAAATCATATTTCTCTGTCTGACAGAAACATTTTGACTAGCAAATAAAAAAAAAAGAAGAAGAAACCAAAGCAAGGGACATTGTTTAGATCAGCTTAAAGAAAAGTTCTAGTCGGCCATAAACACTGAAAGAATAGTCAGTTTGCAACTTGCGATTGGAAGACACAGTTAGCTCGCAAAATAAAAATTGTTAAATGTGTAAATATTTCTCCCAACAGCAGATATTTAAAGAATAAAACTAAGAATTTAAGTTATTGCTGACTGGTGTAATATTTTAATGTCAGATTACGTCATCGTATCAATTGCTCATCAATAGTAATACTTACATTTTATCAACAGATCCTGAAATCTCAGCCCAGAAGTCATTCACAATGGCATCTAGCTTCTGCAGCGCAAACTCCTGCAAGAGAAACAAAAGAAGTTGGTGTGTGCTTTTAACTTGCCCATCACACATTTTAAGTCACACCTATTAATGCACTTGGAGGACCGACAGATCAATTAAACCCCCTACAAGCTATTTATGCAGTATATGCCACTTTAAAAAACGAGTATATAGAGAGCAAATAGAGAGCAAATAGAGTGCCACTCCAAACATTTAAGGAAACCTCCAGGATCCACCTTTGGGAGTTTGGGAGTTTATCATTGCTCTTTGTGTCCCAACGTCTTTGCTTTTACAAAAAAGTAAAAAACAGATTCAGATGTAATCTCCTTATTCCTGTTGGACATGATATGATTGAACATTAGATCATCCCAGGTTGCCATCTTCAGGCACTCCCCAACCAGATCTTACCTTGAGTTGTGGCTCCTCCTCATCCAGGAGGGAAATAATTCCAGCTTAAAAAAAATTAATAAACAATATCCATTACTTGTTCACATTTTATTGCAAGTATTCATTTTAAATATCAAATGCAGTATGGGTAATTACAAAAGGTTAACATATTACATGATGGGATAAAATCCAGTTAATGTCCCTAAGTATTGTTACGTACATACGGTGTCAGAAGCATTTAATCAAAAGTTGTCTCATAAACCATATATTTGATATTCAAGGGGAATTATTGAAATACTATGTTTACTAATTTGACTCCATCAGATTAAATATCCACAATTGAAAAGAAATTCAGATTAGTTTTTAATGCTGAACAACACTGACAGTTATCGACAGTTACGGTGAAAGGAACAATAATACAAAGGATACAATGAATGATAGCACGTGTTTCTTTGAGGAATTATTTTCATTCTTTCCCTTCTCTAAAAACATAAACACCGTCTCATCAAAACTGAGGAGCTACGATCCTGTACAGTCCGTGCTACTGATGACTTGACTGTTAGCATCGACGTTACCTTAATTTACCTCGAATTTGTATATTTAAAACGGTGTTGAGTAGTCCAAACAGTCGCCTAGATTTACCAAAGTCACATTTGCAGGTGTTTTCCCCTCCTGGTGGTGTATTTATAAGCTATAGCTGGTTAACATCTGACTGACAACCGCTACATTAGCTCTGTGACTCAGCTAAATCAATGGCGGCTAGCTGAAGTTGCGGCTAGCAAAATAAAAGCATTTTCTATGACTTACCGGCAGATGTTATCATGATTGGCTCTTTATTCCCTCCTAAGCCCCACGACCCTGGTTCTGAAGGTGGAATACCGTGCAACTTCCCGGCAAGATAATGAGCAGAAACGATTTGACGTGTCTGAAAATGAACAACAGTGGAAACAATCGCGGACTCTGCTATCTTCTTTTTGTCCGATGCCGCAAGTCCTCTTCCTGAGGCCCTCAGCGTTGGCTGGCCTCTTTTACGCCTGATTAAAACGCAGATGTATAATATTATTATTCTATTCTGCTTGGTCTGATCAATATCTATTGCCTGAAGCATATCGAATACTGCCATGTCGTATCCATTGTACTTAAAAATAAATATGGAGGTAAAGTAAAGGTAGCGCAAACTATTACATTTGGACTGGCCATTGTACAGGTGGTCTATCAGTTGAATTTGGCACGGAAAGGCGCAATAGGTGACTGCTGTTAGTAGAAGTCAATTATATGTGGAGGGTTGTTGACGCTACCGCGTCTGATGCAGTTTTCAGAAGGTATGCAGATCTAAGCGTTATACGCAACTAGTGTGCCGTAAAATCAGCACAGTAAAAAAATAAGTAGATGGTTTATCGTGAATCTACGTTTTCCGCATGGATCCATGACAGGTTTACTGAAATCGAAGTTAAATTATGGTTATTTCAGTAATATTAGACATATGACAGAGCAGTGTCAATTACTGAGTCTGCAACCAAATGTCCACATACTTCTAAAATAATTGACAGCGACATTCAATATAGAGAGAGCTGTACACTCAGAAAAGTTTATATGCTTTTATTTACAAATGAATAGCGAACACATACAGGTACAAAGTGAAACGTGGTTTCATCCACTTCTATTGCAGATAATGCGTTCGTCATTAGCACTCATCTAAGGCACTTAATTCTAATAAATTAACATGAAAAGGATTCACAGTACTGGCTTCATTGAAAACAATAAGGTGTTTGGTCCCTATTAATAAAGCGGGACCTTACTTAAGACGCTTTTTATGATTATGTTGGTGTTGTGCTTTGGTGATGTAAATTCCAAATGACACACAATGAGCAATTGACCATTCAGCCCCGTATGTAACTGTGCATCATGTTGATGGGGTAGGACTACTTCTGCTTAACACTAGCCATACTGAGGGTTTTAACATGGATCAGACAAATCTCTCTCTAGGCCTCAAAGTGGTGTAAAATAATGTAATATAGTTCATATAAAAAATAGTTACTTGAATCAGCCCCAATCATAAACAGTAAAAGTATGTTTCACCGTCTGAAACTATTTGACTAGCTAAATATATCTTCAGAACATGGAATATGGACCACTATACAGAAACACTGTCACATGTAGTCAGGCTTTTTAGTACCACAAGGCAAACCCTTTCTTCACAGTTAAAAGAGGATTGTCTGCAGGCCATGTGTTCTGAAATCAGCTGTCTCCTCCAACAGAGTCTCCATTCACATGAGGGCCAGCAGACAACAAACCGATTTTCAGAGGGATGACTTCTTCTTTACTTCCAGTGTTAGCTGAAAAACAAACAAACATGAAAGCATTGTTACTTGATAGGAAATCTACATGGTATAATTTAGCTCCAGTGGAATTCCCGTATGTGCGCTCGATCTTTGTGCTGTTATGTGCATTGACAATCTGACGGGCCATTAATTACGGAAGTAATTCTATAAATTTTGTGATTTTCTTTTTGATACATCACTTTTCTTCGCCCCCCAAGACAAACCCATGGAGAATAAATGTGTAATGCTATCTAATAGACCTGCAACATGCACCATGGCTTTTGCCCATGTGGTGCTTAGGCGCCAGGCTTGTGCATCCCTGAACTAAGTGAGTGTATAAATTGCATGAAGCAAAGACAAGTTGAAAGAATGATGTGCAAATGGAAATGTCCCTATATGGCACAGGCTGAATTCTGGAACGACACTGCATACCTCGTTGCCTGCTGGTTGAGGATTTGGTGTCCCGGCCTCTTCTCCGTGGCCAGAGCAAACATCGGAACGGCCAGAAAAGCTGGTTCCCTCCATCCCCGGTATTATCTGAAAGGCAATAATGAGCGTTTAACAATTTGGCAGCGTATCTAAGGGCCCGGCCGTTCCATGAACGCTCCCTTTGTTCCTGGGACTTTGCAGGCTGGGAAGGAAAATGTGAATCATGTGGATTGAGTGGACTCCACTAACTCAAATCACTGCAGTGTTTGCCAGAAATGAGTGCAGTGTTAATTAGTGAAGTTACCATGATCGTATCGTAAGTGTATATGTCTACTAAGAAATCAATGCAATATCGAGATTTGTTTATTTACTTCTATGGTGTATTATGGTGTATTATAATGTAATCGGTTATCTCTATTTAAATGAGTTTTGGGGCTTGTGTCATATCTGTATGCTTCCCTTCAATAGCTTTTTAAAAAAGGGTCAAAAATCTGTCGCTTATTTGGAGAAATCCAATATGTCACGCATCATCAAATCTGCTGGGTGGCCTGGTTAGACGCACCACGGTTCAAACTCCAAGTTGACAAACCTACGCTGCTGACGTGTGCTTGAGCAAACGAGATGATACACATTCCCGTTAAAGAACATAAAGCATTTGCAGGAAGCACATACGGGCTGCCCGGTAAAAGAGCGTGGCTCACGCACGGTATTACACCTGCGGTTTGAGACGAGTATATAACTTTGCAGGCGTTTTTCTTGATGCTGAGCAGATTGGCCTCTGTCCGCGGGATGAAACTGCCGACCCATATAGTCTCTGGTGAATGTTTGTGGAACACCGAGCGGATCTGGCGCTCCAGGAGTAGCGCACACTGTCGCGTCTCTGCGCTCTCCAGTCTTGTGCGTATTAATCCAATCAGAGCCGGTCGGGCGATTTGGGCACGTTTCGTGCGAGCCTTCACGTCCTTCAGCGTCTCTTTCAAGCACAATTGGTTGGATGGTCGGTTGATAAATGTCTGTCTGAAGATGAATATGATAATGGGAGAGTCTATGGTTCGCTTTTGGCTGTGAATGTTCGCCCTTGTTGCTGTTCTCTGCGCGGTGCCATCGCGCTTCGGCCGCTTCTCCTTGTCCGCCCCGTCCTCTTCCGCCGGGAAGGCGGTGACACCGGGATCCCTGGGCCCCGCCACCGGAGGGGTTTCGTGGCTTTTTACAGCCCCTGGCATGCCGCAAATGGAGGTTTCGCCCCTGCTGTCCGCCGGGCTGCTGTTGTAAAACATTTCCCGGATAAACTCCTGCAACACCGCCGCGTCCTCGTCCTCCTCTTTAATGGTACAGGCATCACTGACCAGATAGATCCGCTCTTTGCCGCCGATCAAAGCCATCGCCTTGTGAAAGTCCCTCTCCTCCTCCGGCAGCGTGGGCTCGAGGAACGCTGCCATCCTGGCGCTAATACTTCTGCGCAGATCCGTCTGGTTTACGAAGAGCCGCAAAAGCCGTTTCGCTGACACCTACTTGGGAAACGTCCCCACGGTCACCGTGGAGCGCCTGTGAGGGAGGGGGTGGGGCCGAAAGAGTCAGCGTCGCTGTCTATTGGCCGGTCCATGCGGTGGGAGGGGCCTACGGTAAAGTCAGCGTGTACTGTAGTTTAAACGAGATTAGACTTGAACGCATGAGTAAACTAACTATGAAAAATAGTTTGAAACGATTTATATCAAATGTTTAACGAGGATTTATGGGAGGTTGTTATTCAGATATAGTAACTACAAATGTTTCTTTTCTTTTAGCGATCATATTCGAAACAGAAAAGGTCCATATTGGAAATTTTTGAGGAATCCCCAGACCCTTCAGAGATGGATGGATGAAAGGGACTCACCAAAGCCCCAAACCACCTACAAAACCAAACAAATCTACCAAATTCTCCATGAAAACTGGAGGGTCATTTAGCTACCAGAAAAAAATTAGAACAATTGTATAGAAGCATAATGTGGAAGCACTGCATTTTTTTCCTGTGAGATCACCCTGTTGAGTGGAATATGCTTTAAAGGGAATATAATGCCATACACATATAGTCTTTACATGTGAAACAGACAAAAATCTCATTCCCATATATTTTACAGAGAATAAATATTCACAATAGTAGGATACCTGGAAAAAACAAAATATACTCCTGAGAACAAACCATCTCACATACTTCTTGTCTTTTCGAGGAAAAGAAGAAACAAAGCGAGGACATTCATAAGCTTTAACTTTCAACTTTCAATTAGCACTCAACTTCTGACTTCTTTGTAAGCTTAAAATGCCTTTCGCTCTCACCCCCCCCCCACCCCCCTACATCAGCAGTCCGAGTTCTTGAGACTCTAATCCTCTAATCCAACCATGTCTTTAATCAAACTATGCTGTTAGTGTGATTTGCCACTAAATTCATGATTAGAGATTGAAGGCCTTCAAAATAAATGTACTTCCTCTCTTTAGTTGGTGTGAGATTGATTCATTGTTTACTGGTGAATAAATGATATCCATGAAGTCTGATCAAAGCCAACACAAAGGTTTGGGCCTTTGACCTTTAGACTTACTGAACTTTGACAAACTTGGCATTGTATTTGTTGTTTTTCCTCAAACAGAATCTCATGTCAGTAGCCGACAGTCCAACTGACTGGGAAAAATGTACCGCTTAGCTTCCTTAATGCTTTTTAATCCTTAACAATAATGACTTAACTTTCTAGCTCATGAAATCTACAATCACTTTAAACTACACGCTCCACTTTTTTTTTTTTTAAGAAATGAGAAATCTCTGAAATACTTCTAACATGGAACATAATATGCACATTCTACGCATTTACAGTTATTTAAGCGTGCTAGACAGCTGACTGACCTCTTGGTTCAGGTGAAGGAGGCGCTGAGGGTCCAGAGGCTCACATTGACCGGCGAGGAGAACTAAGCAAAGTGCAATTAAAGAGAGACGTTCTCAATGAATTTCTCTATGGTGATGATCACAAACTTTGGTGGCACAAATAACTGTTTATAGTAATAATTGTTGCAATCTGGGATATATTGGACTAACTGATAAATAGAGTTTGGTCTTTACTTAAAGTTCATATATCAATCAGTCATTTTGTTTATAGGCTGGAGGATTTCAAATAACAAACAAATTCTTCAGTAATTTGACCAGAATGACTAATTAATTTGTGATTAAAGTTAATAAATGATTTTGGCGACACTGTACATTCCAGAGTTTCCAAATTTGGACCACGTTTCTTATACAAAGTATAAACTGAAATGTGTGATGAAAATGTGTACTCAGCCACTGGGAGGAGTACACAACAGTGCCTGTACATTTCTCTCTATCTGACTGATTTAATAGAAACGTTCACATGGGCACTGGGAATATCACCTCATGAGAAACAGGACATACTTAACTAGCTTTGGCATTTAAATAATCCGATTTTATAAATCAGGCTGAAATTCATGCTTTTGCCGCCATCTGGTGGTTGAAATGGTGCACGTGCACAAGGCTTCACAGCTGGCGTGCAGTGTTTCGAGCCATAGTGGAATGTTAAAGTGATGGTACTTAATCCCTGCTAAAGCTGATACTTGACTAAAAGTTTAAAATTAGCCGCACAACCAAAGAACAACCTGCTCCCACAACGCTAAATATTGCTGATGTTTTCTTGCTCTGACGATGGATCAATGGCAAACAAACAAGACAAGGTACGTACTCGGCCCAGGTCAACTGGTCTTCAGGCGGCAGACAACGTTTTTCTATTTCATCACGCTGTTTGGGGTTGATAAAGTCAACGTAACCGGTGACTTTCGCGACCCCAGATCTCTGAGAGGAGAACGATGAGGCAGTCACAAGCTTTGGTGGCCAAAGTTCTCAGTGAGAGCGGCTTCTTCTTCCGAAGTAGTTTTCTGTTGTGATCATGTTCATGTGGAGTCTGTCGCAGTGGCTGAGCATCAGATGACCTGCAGGCGTCCCCCTCCCACCGACCTAGAGTGCGCCTGAGAACCTGTGACATCTTATTTGGTGAAGGTTAAACCAACAGAACACCGTGGCAGCATCTCTAATCCGATAATTGTACGAGGTCTCAGTGTTCCTTCCAAACAACAACGATTGGAAATTTGAAACTTCCCACAAGAATAAAAAATACAGCATTGAAGGTCCTTAGAAATACGGTACAGAATTTTAAATTAACTACCAAAGCCAGTCTCAAAAAACAACATGGATGTTGTGTTGTATTTTAGTGCCTTCAAATTGATCGTTCCCACTTTTCTATTTACTAACTTGTGTGCTACTACTTGATTTGGCCAGAGATAGTTGCATGCCTGGCGTGAATTGAATATATTGTTATCTGCTGTTATGCTCTCTTTTGCATAATACAACTGGAAATGTTTGACCTAGAAATAGGCCGCTTTACTCCTTAACACTTCATTGTCTTTTTGCCACTTTTAGAAACAGTTTTCTTACAATATTGTCAATAATGGTGAATAATGCAAATTACACTTGACTAGAATAACAAAACATATTTTTTTGCATTAAAAGGCATCAATTTGTTTTTATCTAAAAGTAAACAAACATGGTTCCAAGAAGCAATGAGAAAAGCAAGTTACCAACACCAACTATGGTCCACTTTTTAAACCTAAAAGCCCCCATTAACGGTCCTCTTTGTCATGGTGAGTGAAAAGGTAAATGCAGAATTGGAGAAGGTGAAGGAACATTATAATGTCCCAGTTTTAGACAACAGAAAGTGAGACCTGTGAGAATGGGTATCACATTTCAGCCAGGATTTGTCTCTTCACAAAGGGTGTAACATTGGGGAGTGATGGTCACATGTGGGGGAAATAAAAAAAACTAAAATTACACTTTATCGGTATCATGTTTAATACGCTTCTCATGCAAATTAGGACGCGCACGTTGGTTAGTACTCAATATTAGAACAGAAATAAAGTCTAAAGATAGTACGAAAATACAAATCAGTGTAAAACATTTCTAAGGTAAATGTGTGTTTCTCGCATGGAATGTTGTATATTCATCATGTAGAACAACCATATGATATCCACAGTATTCATGTCACTGATATGAAGGAAGGCCTTTGACCTTATGCAGCAAAACCTGAGTCATACAATGAACAAAGAATTCCAAGTGCCTCTTTTAGTGGGAGCGAGTTATTAATGGTTGAGCGAGTTATTGATGGTTGAAGAATGTATCCATGTGCCTTTGTAAACTGAGACATCAAAACAAGCTGCTGGAGGTATGCAACTTCTTTAGGGGAATTCCCTGTTTAAAACAATTTTTCATCTTTCTTGATTTTCTCTAATCTTACAAAACATCCTTCCTTGATATGATCTTGCTGGTTATTTGATTAACTTTGCGAACAACAGTATTGCCACTATATTATGTTTTATTTTTATTGAGAAAGGTGTAGGTATAGTACGGTAGATATCGAATCATATATTTCTTCGTAATACAAAGAAAATGCCGCTTGTGTGTGATCTGATAAAGACACTAGACTCCTTTAAATTTGCTTTAATGATCTAAGCTCAACATCATCCCATTGCGTCGGGTAAGCGACATAATTCCCTTTTCATTGTCAAATAACATCCAAAAGCTTCAACCCATTTTTTCTTATGAAAACATTGCATTGCAGTTGTGTTGCAGTATAGAGCCAGCATCTTCACAGCGGCAGGAGGCCTCCGGGCAACAGGGCTTCCTGTCTCCTCACCGTTGATGAGTAATGAATAGGATCACCTTATGCCGGAGATCATCAAGGTGATGAAGAGCCAATCTCTGCTCCATATTCATCTCTCTCTCTCTCAGCAGAAAGGCATGCTGGGGAGGCCAGGATGGGTTTGTGTGAAGAGACACGCGTGAACAAGATGAAGGGGTGTTGTGCGTGAGGAAGAATACAACATAGAAACAAATAGCCAAGAGGTCGACATTAAAGAAAAGTGCCAAAGCCCTACGAGATGCTTTACAGTTAGTAAAGGAGGGACACTTCCTATTAACAACTCAGGGTTTAACATATTTGAAGGAATTTAATGCTCAAATTGATGCTACGGACAGTTATGGGGAGTCCTTCAAAATAAAAGGAACGACAGGCATCCAGTGAGTGGGAGACGCTTTCCGGGTGGAGAAGATAGCAAAAAGAAAGAAAAGCCTTCAATAAAGAACTTAAGGAAATACGTTAAATGAGAAAGGCATTAAATATCTTCACGTCTACGCTAAATGGGATTTAATTCAATGAGCATTGTAGCTTTTCCTGGAAAATGTAGAGAAGAAAAGGAAGTGATTACAGTCATAGAATGTCTTCTTTCTTCTAGAACCCACCCTAATCCCAATTATACACTGAACAGGCCGAGAAAACAAAACTGATATGTTATCAGGTTTGCTTTGAGTCACTCCCAGTGACCCCTGGACTCACTTCCCCTCTTTGGCAGGACTTTAACCTTCCTTCACCTCACATCGCGCATGTCCTTCACTTGTCTGACCTCTCCTGTTGGTGTACGCTCTTTTTATCCGCCAATGTCCTGCAGCTGTCTGGTCTTA